TGTTTGGCCCAACAACCTAGCCCGAAGAGCCTTCAGGTTTCAGCTCAGTCTTCCTCCTCTACCCGTGCAAAATCACCGACACGAAGTCCAACCGTTGTGAGAAGCCCAGTTGCACCTGGCATAAATTGTTTACATTTGTTGTGTCCAACGGACACTGATGTCCCAAGCAGGTGAAAGTCTGAGTGCTGAAGACCAGTGGAAAGAACAAAGAACGAAATTACGAAGGGATGTTGGGCGTTTAACTTCTGTAAGTCAACAGTTAGCCAAACCACGTGAGGCTGGTAGTATGCTTCGCCCTGCAAAGTCAACCTCGTCCGACCAGAGGTGTTATGATCTCGTGATCTTTCACGCACCGGAGTCCAGTGATCCATCACCTCAAGTGCGCTACGATCACGATGTCGAGTTTTACAGGGTCTAATTGATAGACTCCTCGACGCTGGTGAGGACTCGGTAAAAGTGAGGCAGATTACCCGTCTTGGAAAGCAAGGTGATCAACAAAATCGGCCTATGAGAATCACTTTTGTGGACGAAGCCAGTCCAAGACTGATCATGTCCCGCCTAGGTAGGCTGAAAGGTTTGAAGATCCATGTTCGTCCAGACCTGGACCCAGTAGACAGGGAGCAGCTCAAGTGTGCCATCATTGTGCTGAAAAGACTTACTGGTGAGGGGAAAACAAATATTCGTATCGTACATTTTCAAGTGGTTTCCAAAAATCTGCGATTCAGGATAAACAGGCGGCTCACACTTCAAGCATATCCGGCGGCTCCTGCTGCGGCCTGCGAGTAGCATTTACAAACGTCTGCAGTGTCATGAACAAGCGCGATGAGCTTTGTTGTTTCGTTGCGTCTGAGCGGCCAGACGTAGTGGGACTCGCAGAGACATGGCTGCATTCAGAGTTATACACCCAAGAACTTGAACTCAACGGTTACTCGTGTTTCCGATGCGATAGACGAAAGAATACAAAAGGTGGTGTCTTACTTTACATCCGGTCTTCCCTGTGTGGGAGACTTGTGAGCACCTACAAAAGTGAGGATGGTTTGTGTGAGCTACTGTGGTGCTCCATCCGCCTCAGGAGCGGAGAACTGCTTGTGGGCTGTTTATCGCAGCCCCCTGAGTCGTTGTTTGGATTGACTGCCTCATCTTCGAACCCACATGAGTCCTCCCCCCTTTCTACTTATGGGCGATTTTAACTGTCCTCGAATACGATGGCCTGATGTGCATTTGATGCCTGGACATAGTGAGGTTGAAGGAAAGTTCGTGGATTTGCTACTTGAAACTGGTGCATCGCAACACATAAGCCAGCCAACACGCATATCAACACGTCCAACCCCGCCCTGTCTCGACCTGATGTTAAAGAGCTACGAACAACGAGTGCGTGACGTTAGGATCCTGGAGCCCCTGGCTACAAGCGACCATTCAGTGTTCATAGCTGATATGGAATTATCTTTGCCGTATTCACGTCCGCTGGAATCAGCTCCCAACTACTGGAAAACGGACTTCGATGGTCTAGCTCGAGCCGCGAGCCAACTGGATTGGTCTCTGTCACAAGCTGCGTCTGTGGAAGACTGTTGGATATTTATAAAAGTGAGATTGACATCATTGTGTTCCCAATTTGTGCCATTGAAATGTCGGAAGGTTGGACCGATTAAGCCTCATTGGTTTGACAAGGAGTATGGAAATCTGGCTCGGAGGCGGCGCAGACTGTGGGACAAATTCCTCCTCTCTGGCTCTGCCAATGATTACGAAGGGTATAAAAATCAGCGGAACCTCTGCAACAGTGCAAAAAAGAATAAGCGCCGACATTTCGAAGAGCAGTTCGCAATAGCCGCGAAGACCGCCCCAAAGAGAATCTTTGCATACGTGAAGTGACGTCTGAAGCCGGTAGGTGATGTACCAATGCTGGATGGCCCGGATGGACAGCCCCTAACCTCCAGCACTGAGCGTGCATCCGCGTTGGTGGCGCACTTCGCTTCTGTATTTGCGAATGACAAGGTGTCTGTTCCGAGTTCGACGTGCACCGCTTTTACCGAACTCGACAGTCTGCATTGCGGCATTGAAGAGGTACGTCAACTACTAGCCAGCGTTGACGGCACCAAACCTGCAGGGCCTGATGGGCTTCACCCACTGGTTCTCAAGTCACTTTCGACCATCATCTCTCCTGTCGCGACTGACCTTTTCAACAGGTCGCTGTCCAAAGGTTCGTTGCCGGTTGACTGGAAATGTTCGGTGATGAAGCCTATTCCGAAAGGCTGCAACCTAGCAAAGTAGACCACTACAGGCCAATTTGTCTAACACTTATTTTGGCAAAGATTGCTGAGAAAACAGTGAAGAAGGGATTGCTGCAGCTGCTATAGTCAAACGAGGTCCAGAAGCCGCAACAGCACGGTTTTATGCAAGGCCGCTCATGCATTACGAACCTGCTTGTGACGAGGCATGAGTGGTTGAAGGCAATAAGCAAGGGGAAGTCTGTCGACGTGATATTTATCGATTTCAGTAAAGCGTTCGACAACGTCAGCCATGAAGTTCTCCTTCACAAACTCAGGATGTGTGGTGTCCGTGGCTTACTGCACCGGTGGATCCGCGACATTCTTGTGGGACGACGACCATCTAACTGATTGGTATCCCTCTACAAGGGGCGTGCCTCAAGGCACTGTGCCGGGGCCCACTCTGTTCCTGATCCACATCAACTATCTACCTCAGCTTCTCCAGTTGCCGTGTGCCTTGTTTGCGGATGACAAGAAAATGTGGAGAGAAACTGACGCTCCCGATGACTGTAGCCTACTTCAACAAGACCTCAACCGCCTATGCACATGGTCTGCAGACGTTCCTCTCCCGGTCAATCCAGCCAAGTCAGTATTTATGAGCCTGGGGAAGGATGCTGACGGCCGAACCGACACATCACTCGCGGCGAAGCGCAAAAGATCGAACGAGTACAACACGTCGCCACCAAGTTGATCCCCAGCTTGAGAGGCTTATCGTATGAAAACCGGTGCATGAAACTTGGGCTCTACACCTTGTCGTATCGCCGTGTTCGAATGGATCTTATCATGACCTACCGTATTTTACATCTCGGTCATTTCCCCATGCTGAGGTCGTTACTCCACTTGCGAGTACCATGCACCACACGTGGGCACAGGTACAAACTCGTGGTACCTGATCTGAAGAAAATCCCACACCCCCTGTGTTTCGAGCGGAGGGTTGTGCACGCCTGGAACAGTCCGTCAGAACACGTCGTCGAGTCCGAAACTGTGAAGAAATTCAAATCTTTGTTTGATTTACACTTCGCCAACATACGTTTCAGAGAACGGTTGCCACTTGACAACGATATCACCCACTTGTGACTCACTGTGTGAACAAGCATTTTGTGTGCTACAAAAGGAGTTGCTGAACCATCTCAGGATAACCACCGGACGTGTTTATTTATTTTTTTTAAATGTTTTTGATTATCACCCGATGGAGTTGTACAGAATTATTTTCTACTTGCTCCAAAATACAGTATTCAGTATTCATCATCATACACGTTAGCTAGAGGCGGGGAACACCTCAGCTACTGTGCCGCAGCGAACCAACACCCCTGATGGCCAACCGCTATATCCCACACCCTCCGTGAACGACCTAGGTGTACTCTCACGCTACGATTTGAAGTCCATGCACAACACGAACAGGCTATATCGTAACGGACTGCGCATGCTTTGGGCGCTCAAAAGTAGCTTCGGCACACGGTCTGAAGAGGTTGCCACTCGCCTCTTCTCTTCTACCATTAGACCAACGCTAGAGTACGTTTCGCCCGCCTACTTTCCGATTACCCGAGGCGAGGCACAAAAGATCGAACTGGTCCAACACGTTGCCACTAGGCTCATCCTGAGCTGACGTGGATTGGGGTATGAGGACCGGTGTGCAAAACTAGGACTCTACACCTTGTCCTACCGTCTGGTGCGAGTCGAAGTCATTATGATCTGCCGTATTCTACATCTCGGTGACTTCCCAATGCTGAGGCTAATGCTGCACTTACGAGGGCCATGCAGCACACGCGGACACAGATACAAACTTGTGGTGCCGGATGCAAAACGTGTCCTCTACCCACTGTGCTTCGAACGGAGAGTGGTAAAAATTTGAACAGTTTACCTGAACATGTGATGCAGGCAACATCTGCGTAGCAGTTCAAAACGTTGTTAGATTTATATTTTACCACTATTCGATTCAGAGAACGATTGCACACTTACGATGACACATCAAATTTGTGAGTCCTGCAATACTGTGAGTCAGCTATTGTAAATGTTACATGAGAAAGATAACGATATTTGCTGCTGACAATTTTTATAACGTTTTTCACCATATTTCGAAAGAGTTGTACATAATTCATTTCTACTTGCTCTATAGTACAATATTCAGTAATTATCTATAGAAGCGTATGTACGTAGTGAATGAGGTGGAGAATAGCCATTGAAAAGAGTAAGAGTGGAGTTGGAAAGAATTGGTGAGCCACAAAAAGTGATGTGGCAGATTGAAAAAGAAGCAACACGTGAATGCGACCACAATAGAAAGTGGGCTAAACTGACGACTTCTCTGGGGGGTGGGGGAAATTTTAAGGGACTTTCAGTGTACATCATGTAGCAAGTTTTGAGAAACTCTGTGGCACCGCTCCATCGAACCATGCCAAACAGCCGCTCGAAGGGGCATGTAAAGCAAAAAGAAGCGAAGCCACAAACACAAGGAAGGAAGATTAAACTGAATCAGCTGTTATGACAGGGAAAATGGTATCGATTGCACGTCGTACGGATGCGTCGATGTCACGAGAGCATAAGCGGTTGCGCGCAAGCATGGCAGATTGGGTGAAGAGTATGAGCATGAAGGGGGATGCACAAAGAGACTCGGTTTCGCAAGCATGATATCCCGAGACAGTCAGTTTACTTGGGGGCATAGCACTACACAAAAGCAAATCTCGGTTGCAAGTGTAAAGGACTCGAGAACATCACAACACTTAAAACCGGAGGGCATACCTTCATGACGTGTTCATTCTCCGTCCCCGCCATATTGACTGAACTGAAGCAGAGTTTGAGCAGACGCATGTACAACACCGACTCATCTGTGCCCTCTGTAACAACAAAAAAAAATCAATCCAATTAAGTGGCGAACATAGGTAAGGATAACGCCACATTGGCAAATGCAAAAACGGAGCCGAGAGGGGACTCACCGCCTAAACGCTCGAGACGATCCACCAGATAGGAGAGGAGAATGTGGCAAAAGTTGGAGGTTTTGTTTGGCTGGGACAACAAATGCAAAGCCATATTTGTGTACGAAGGGCTCTGACGACACCAGCTAACGAAGTCCTGTGAAAAGAGGAGGTAACAATACCAGAGGTCAGGTGGGTAAGCTGTTAGCAGGGAGTGTTTCCAAGATATTAGTGACCGTGGTAGTGTGACATTTACCAGCCGTGATGGGGGCAACATGCCAATTCCGTGAAGAGCAGAAATACCAGCCGAAGGAAGGGTTGCAGGAATTTCTGAACGAAGAACGACCAGATCATCGTGAAACCACCAACCGTTGAGCACGGGTAAGTGTTAGGTGGCTAATACCAGGTGGATGCCAAGGAATGGTGGTCATTAATTTAGGGAAACAAGCGCATACTAAAGGTAACAGGCAGTGAGAGGCTGATCAAAAGTCAGTCGTTTACTGAATATAGGCACATCAAAAATCGAGTGTCTTGAGGCAGGTGAAGTTACAACGACAAGCTTCACCATACAGCGCAACGTGGATGTCAGCAGTTAATAACATATGAGCGATTAACTGAAGTACGACATCTTGGCCAGTAGTAAACCAGGACAAAAAGCAGTCCAGCAGATGGACCTAACCGGTAAAGGTAAAAACGCAATGGATTCGCAGATGTCATGCGCAAATCAGTTCTCAGAGAAAAAAGTAGACTCACGTGTATCTTGCTAGAGAATATTTCGTGGAACGAAACGGGACTGAGTTGGGAAAATGTCAGAGCAAAGGTCTCGATTAGGAGCCGCTCTTCAGGTGACTTTGCACTCGGCTGACTGCAAAGCGAAGAAAAAAAGGAAGTGGCGGTCGAAGAAGCGGTAGTTGTCGCAAGAAAAAACAACGACGAGGAATTTCAAACTGTTTAGACAATGAACACAGTCATTAAGATAGTTTACCAGCAAGGCGGACAGTAGTCATGGGATTACGACGTAGGGTAGTTGAAAGATGTGAAGAAGTCGTCTCCCCGAGGCTCACTTTATCCTCATACCACCAAACCAGCTAATTAGGATTGCGTGATGCTGGTATGATGTGGATATCTTGATCTTCAATGTTTGTTTTGTGTGTTTACATACCACCTAATACCATCCTCTTCTCTTACTAGTAACTGCCACTGACACGGCCACTGCGATCGTGATGCACTAGTACCGACTATTGTTGGTGGTGATGACAGTAGTGCGCTCACTACAGGGAAAGTCAGCACACAATGAGGTGCTCCGAAAGGTTGAATGTATAAGAGCCAATTACACTACTTGGTTTTTGTTTAATCGAGGTATAGCTGGTTTTGCTGTTGCATATGGAGTTGCTTTACTAAAACGCAACAAATCTGCAGTAGTGGCTAGTGGTAGAGGATACCACCGTAGTGACACGCATAGAAGAACTAAGACCACCAGCTTTATGCGACAAAACCTATGCAACTAGTTGAATGAAGGAAATAATTCACAACCTTGAGGAGGAATCAGTTCCACGTGTACTGAGGGGACTTAGACCCATCGACGAAAGTCCTTAATTTAAATAAGTGTATTATGATCCAGACTGGCTGCACACGGTTGCTTTTGCTCGTTTTTGGCCTGATAACAGTAAAGGTGACAAACTGGATTAGCACCTCAAAGGGAGATTCAGCCCTATGGTCAAAAATAAATAAATAAACTTTTATTCTGGAATGTTTCCAGGCACGCCATATCAGGCATGATCAAAATTGTGTAAGCAACGAGGTTTCGCGAAGTTCAGGATAGATTACATGCAAAAACGTGATAGTGTTAGGAGCACTTGTGAGAAGCAACATATTTAGTATTGTGTTGATAATGAGGGTTCAAATATGTTCAACGAGGGTAAATTATAAATATATATATATATATATATATATATATATATATATATATATATATATATATAGTTCTTACTTATCGCGGATTCGTTGCTAACCAACTTACTTCATATGGTAATTTAGGAAAGAGTTATGCCACCGTATCTGTATGCATTATTGGACTTCTTTTATTTCAGCTTGTCGTTTAAAGTGAATGGTTGTTGCTTGATATTTCCGGTGTGGCTGCGCTTGATGTGCATGTTGACAAGGTGCCTACCTGTCTATTACCCACTACCTCGTCCATACTGCCTCCAGGAGACAGTTGGTCGTTGCTGGAAGGGACGGGGTGCACGGTTCTTGTGGCCGTGTTAGGATCAAAAAGTGGTTCCATGCAGTCAGTGTGGAGTGGACTACGGTCCAGCCACCGCCTTGTGTGCACTTAATTCCCCAAATACAGCGTGCTTGTGTTTGCCTGTGAAGGAGTGTGGCCGGCTCCGTTGATGAAACGTGGCTCCCATTCACATGCCTCCTGGTCTTATTCCTTCGGGTTTACACTGGATATGGGGTGTGTGGTTGAAGCTGTGGGTGGTGCAGCGCAAACGCCCCACGGTCCTTCTGTGGGCGCAGGCGTCCTGTGGCTGGCCACAGTGACAGGCAAATCCGAAACCAGATGCCGCCAACCATATATACATATATATATATATATATATATATATATATATATATATATATATATATATATATATATATATATATATATGTATTAATAAGAACCTGTGTGCAGAAAAGGTGCTATCGGAACCACGGAAGAATAAGAAAACAGGATTAGAGTAAAAGAAGGAAAAACAAACAAGATATATTTTGTCCATTTTCCTATTCACAGTTTTTGGTGGTTCTTTATTGGGAGAGGGAAGAGGGATCACCGCAACAAGCAGAGATGCACGACCGCCACTGAGTTCGGTTTTGAGCCATGATTTTCAAGGTTTCCAACCAGCAGCACCCAGTATGTTTGGGACCGCATCTAGGGAGTCGAGAAGAATCAACCGAGGCCAGCTGTTTAATCAGCTTTTTCATCCTGCCTCTCCAAGTTGTAGGCTGCCCACCACGCCGCCTCCTCCAGCCCTGTCCAGCGACCGCGATCAAGCACGACGCGGAAGACGCTGAACGGGCATGCGCTGTACGTATCCAAGTCATCGTAGTTGGCGCAACGAGACAAGCGTCTCGAGAAAGTAGCTGCCTCCACCCAAGACACGCTGTCTGACTTCAGCGTTGGTTATGTAGTGCGGCCACCCCACACAGGCGATGGACCGCAAGCTACGGTTCTCGAAGACAGACAGTCGGCGCAGGTCGTCGGTACGAACAGGTCAAGTTAAACAACCGTACAACAGTACAGCGCGGACGGCTGCACTATAAATCCGCCCTTTGATGAAGAGACGAATGTCATGGCGGCGTCATGAATGCCTAGACCTTTAGAAGGTGGGACGAGTTCTTGAGATGCGCATCGGAATCTCATTTCCAACAGCCCGACCAGCAGTGATGCAGCTTCCCAGGTAGACTAAACTCTGTACAACTGCGAGCATTTCACCAATGACGGTGAGTGCAGGTAGGGACGTATGGTATTCTTGAAAAAGCGCTTTGCACTTAGATGATGAAAACTGCATGCCATACTTCAACGCTTCAATCGCCAGTGGTTAAGTGCAAGTTGGACGGCCTGCGGACCGTCAACCAACAAGACGATATCATCAGCGTAATCCAAATCAACCACCCGACTATGTGGTAGGAGCTCAACGCCAGCGTTCAACAAGTCTTTGAGAGCATTTGTAAGGGCATCCTCTATGGCAAAATTGTCGAACCCCACCAGTCACAACAAATGAAAGCGAAAGGTTGCCACAAGCCCTAACTCTACTCGTGGTCATAATATACAGAGAACGCAGTACGCAAACGAACTTCCCAGGAATGCCATTCCTCAACAGGCAGTACCACAATGCAGCACTGTCGACAGAATCGTAAGCAGCACGGATATCCAGGAACACAACAATCGTTGGCTTTTGATACACATGACGGAGTTCGTAAATCTGGCGGAGGGTGAAAATCTTATCGATGCAGCCGCAACCAGAGCGGAACCCAGCCCGTTCTTCTCGCTGTAGTGATTCACGCGTTGGGGATAGCTAGAGAAGAATGATGGACACCTGAATCTTGCAAACGACGGGAAGCTAACTTATGCCCCTGTAATTGGAGCACTTTGTGCGCAGACCATTTTTAAAGATGGGTACGACTATCAACTCACTCTAGGATGGTGGAACCGCCCCTATTGCCCAGACTTGTGAGAACAAAGCGGTGAGTTCTCGAACCAGCGAAGAGCCCCATCTTTAAATAGAGTAAGAGGTAGACCATCAGGGCCGGGTGGCTTATAACGTTTTAGGCAGCAGAGTTCCCGCTAGGTTTCCTGACGAGAGGGAGGATCAGTTGGGATAGTCCACTCATCACCACTGCGCGCACCAGGCAAAACAGATGGAGCTGGCGGCCAGGAATACTGCGAGCGAAAATGTTCGTCCCATCGCCCCAACCGTCGTTGAAGATTAGTGATTAGGGAGCCATCCTCTTCGCAGATTGTTTCGCATATTCCTGAAGGGAAGCCTTCGGTGACTCGGATGTGGTGGAACAGTTTTCTGGTAGTACCAGAAAGATTAGTAAGTTCCATCTTTCTAGCCCGTTCATACTACCAGGTCTCACGGTCCTTCTGTAAGCTCCTACGCAACGCTTGATCCAGAGATCGGCGTTCCTCACTACAGCTGGTATCGGCGTCTGTCTATCAGCGACAAGGAGGCAGGGATGATCCAGCTTTCCGGCGAGTGACAAGCAATTCCACAACTGGCAGCACTGGAAGAAATTAAGGCGTCTTCGATGCGCATCCATTGCGAATTCAGACCATCGTCAGAGAATGAACCAGACAATGTTGAGAGAGAAGTCTGGTACTTGGCTAACGTCGCAGATGTTCGACGTTCGTTTAGTAGCGCGTACGTCTGGGTGATTCACCGAAACGCATGCAAATCTTGGTCCGAACCAGTACGTGATCGGAGTCCAGGCAGATTCACCAGTACGATCGGCAGTCTGTTACGCTGCCGCACCATCTGTAGCTTATTACTATTTGTTCAAGCTGGAACCACTCATGTGTTGGAAAAGGCGGGCGTCATGTAGCAGTCTGCTTTTCGAATGCCGAAAACTGGTGCTCGAAAGAAATGTGTGAGAACGTACGCATCAGAATTAGTGGTATGTAGTGTCGGACCGGGACACTCACGTTTGAGCTAGGAGGGTATGTGTGCGGTGCCACTCAGAATTGGAAGAAATCTACTTGGCATTCAACGTTTTCATTACGTTTGTTAATTTTACACATTAATTTATATTATTGTTCACTAGTATTGCTATTTTGTGTAGCTTTTTTCATTTTACTCATCACTGCAACTAAAATGTATATTTCTGTACGTTTCATTGCTTGTACATAACGCAATATGTATGTTTGCTCATTTTCATTCAATATTTCCTGATTTAATTTACCTGATGTGTATTTCTTCATATAAGTTATTTGTATTGATTTTTTGACATACGCAATTGTACTGCTGCATGCAAATTGCCAAAACCCGTTCCCGCCAAATGTGAACGTCCAGTTCCCGTGAGGTGTAGAGAGAGTTGCCAATGTGATGCAAATGGCAGTGACTTTATTTGGTGGCGAGTCAAATCCGCCACGTCGCATCTTTGTTAAGCAGACATTTGTGGCTTTTTATAGGGAGAACGCTTGTCAGGCGAAAACCTAGCACGTCCCGGACCACTGCCGTCAATCGTAATTAGAAGCAAGAGTCTCTGGCAACGGTGACTAATGAAGTCAGAGATGGATTGTGCAGATTAACCTCGAATGGTGATATCTGCGAAGGTACGCCACATGAGAAGAGTAGAGAAATTATCGGCGGAAATGTCTGAACGGATGACTCCATTTGAGCGGGTGCTTTTGTCTTGATGAATTCAATTTTAGCTTATAACTCAACAATCTGACTACGCAAAAGTGTGCGTTATGGAACGTGACAGGGGCTCTTGATTGCCGCCCATCAAGAGTTGCCAGAGCTCAGTCACAAGGATGACTTGGAGGAGCCAGATAATTCCGTTAGATTATTCGACTGTGCTAGATATTACACGCGACCATTAAGAACAGTGAGTGAGCCTCGGTGAGTTTGTACTTTACTGACATGTGATCGGTTGTGTTTGCACAGACGTTAGTAAACCAGTGAGCACCAACCAACCCTTCTCGCTGACACAGGTAACCAGTGACGCTAGTCATTTTATGCCAATCGTCCTGAGCTTATAATCTGCTGCCTGTCACTGTTGCGTTTTGAATCAGGGAAGCAGCCGACTTCTGTGCAATCACTAGTGCAGAAGATGCTGACTCTAAGGTTACCCGGTCTGAGACCATGATCCAGATGACATGGGGTATTGGATGTACTCAGGGTGATACGGAGAACTATTGTCTGAACTCGCCTGTCAGTGAGTAGGCATGTTTTAAGAGAAAACAACTGATGCCCGTAATATGATAGGATACTTTTCTCTGAAGCTGCAAAAGATAGTTGACATGAAAGATGTTCAAGTTCAAGAGGCGTAGAATTCGTTGATTGATTAACTGGATGCAGTGCAGTTCATACTGTGGATTGCGAAGTATACTTCCAAAAAAACAGAGTACCAATTCAAGGGTGGATCGACACACAAGCAGGTTCCAAATACCAGCAGTAACTTCCCAAGGTATTCTGCAGGTGCACGTATGTAAACGGTAGCATCGCGTCCAATCACAAGTTTTTAGAAAAGTGAATGTCTCAGGGCAGGAAGGCTTGGGTAGTAGAAAGGGCTCTGTACATTGATAGAAATGATTGGGTATTAGTTTGCAAAAATGATACAGAGTAAGCCACGTCGCTCATACGAAGAACGGCACTGTAAGCACTATGCATCTGATCGTCGCGTGTTGCAGAAAAGTAGGATAGGAAATAAAGAGTCAATCGTTACGTGATGTTGATGCCGAGATCAGAAAGGTTCATTCGAGTCAAAATTACTTTGACATCTGACTAATATATTTAGTGGTCCAGTGGTGGATAATCAGACTGACTGAAAGGAAAACCGGTGAGGAAGGCAGTTAACATAAAGAACAACAAGAATTGATGAGTTGACGAATAGAGTGGTAGCTCAGATAAGTGAAAAATGGCAACCGTCACTTGAATGAATATGAGCATAATTGTCGTTTAATAGGCCATACAATATGACGACCGAGTGGTCGGCGGTGGTGAGCCCTAGACTGAAGGTAGTTGAGGAATCCAAGTGAAAAACGACCAGGCGACGGTCCGTGAGAGCTCGATAGCCCTGTCCGGCTTTGATATACAGTAGTGTGAGGAAGAATGTGACGAGTGCAGTAGTGTCACATTTAGTGGATATTAAGCACAAAATAAAGTCAACAGATTCATTCCAACCGATCTACTGTGTACCAGGACACCACATACGAACTCAGATGCCCTCTGCTGTCGACAGCAGAGGCAATCGCAATTCGGCTCTATAATCTGGACTTGTGCACACAGAAGAAGTTTGTGCAGACCCTCTGTCTACCGTGGCCACAGACTAACACAAGTAATCATGCCGATCATGCCATTCCCCTGAACCCACACAGGTCCGGCTAATCAACTAGCCTGATTGATGAGAATTTTTGATTTATCGACGCCTATAACCCACGTGTTTATTTTTGATCTACATACTTGTGGATGTACTAGCCTGAGGATGAACCATAGTGGAAACAAGCTTGTTCGTTACTTTCTACTTCTAATATTTTCTCAAGGTGATATTTCTCAAGTGAAAAGCTGTATCCCGTCTAGCAGATGCTTGCGTCACTTTAATGGATGTAAGATATTTCAGCAAGACCGAGTGTCAAATGAGTAACAGCAAAGGTTGAATATCAAACAGTACACGTTCGTCTGCGTCAGTACGGGGGGAGGAACACAGCACACGATTGGATAAGTGACAGGGAGTGTGGAACGTACTTTTTGATAAATAGCTTTCCGTCGCGGCTAACGATTTGAACGATATCGATCATGCGCATCCCGTAGTTGAAATACTCCGAGAGAAGGGCCAATTCATCCGAGCTGAGGAATCGCGATGGACTGGATCCTGGCGATGGAGGCGATTTTGTCATGTGAGAAGGTTGTATCACTGGGCTTATCGCTGAAGCAGGCCCACGGGGACATTGTATCATGCTCATGACAATCGTCCGCACGCCAGTCATGAGTGCTTTAATCAGTGAGCGTAAATCTGCATGACTTAGATGCCCTCTGGATGAGTCTGTTGCTAGAAGCTGTACATAGGCCAGCAAAGAAAATGTGAAAAAATAACGAGGCAAATTATGTCGGCACCAAGCGTCCACATACGTAATGCAATGAGATGGAAAGACACACAACGGTACACTTGAGGCAATTTTTGAGTGCTGATTCAATAAAAGGATGGTGTTGAAAATCCTTCTAGAGTAGAACAATATATTCTGTTTAAGCAATTATTTGAACATTCTTCGCAACTTGCGAAAATGCCATTATTATTCCTCGTTGCTCACTCCCAACATTGAGAATGCGTGCTGCGGTAAGTCAAAAATGCGGCCGGTACTTGAAAACTAGACAGAAAATTGTCACCCATAGTGCAAAGTTAAGATCGTAGCGGCCCGAAGCATGGCAAATCGAGTGAGTGCATGTCTGCGTTGGTATGCAGTCAGAATAAAATTAAAATAAGATAAATCGCCAGCTGTACACCGAAATGGCGCTTCCCTGCCACGCGACCACCACCAGTCGCGCGCGTGCTGAGTATACCACGAGGATGCCCAACTCTTCGTGGATTCGAACCGGCGACGTTGGGGTTTCAAACAAGGCGCGCAGACGATTCGGCCACCGGCGGTCAGATGTTCCCAGCGATTGTCGAGCACTCTTGCTCCAAAAATTGTTAACAAAACATACAACATTTATTCGGTGGTTACGCGAGATAAACCTGCACAGTATGATCAAATGGCGAAAGGTGATATTAATCATAAGTAGACCGGAATGCTGACGCGACAAGACTGGATCTAAAGGTGATGCGACGGTTTGGGTAACTCTTCGACCAACCGAGTAACACTGGGTGGTGCCCTGGGGCCCACTGAGGGCCGCTCTTACCAGATTAGCCGACGATCAAAATACTGATTAATGAAAACATAGAGCTAATTGATGTACATCTGTGTCGTCCCATCACTTTTAGACGGGGCACGTGCGTGCAGTCAAGCCACTGATTCCTGCGCGTTTGGAGTAGATTACAGCTGCACCACATGTTAACCGGGTGCGATGTGGTTTGTAAATCTGAAATCCGCAAAGTGTGCATCTAGGAAGTGTTTGAATGATTACACAGATTTCGTCCCGGTTATTGTCTTGGGCACACCGTTCCAATATTTCACCACTCGGCACTTGAGGCATAGGTGAGCTACGCATTGTAAATCCGGCAATAATAGATTGTACCAGTGGACGCGAGTGTTGCTTGGTGCGCGAACGTGCAGCAGCGGCCTCAACGAAGGGAAGTTGCTCAGACGCAATATCGGGTAAGTCATTATGAGGTACACTCGAAGCCGACCGTACGACAGGTTGTACAACCCGAGAATTCCATCGGTCTTCGTACGACATACCTCGTAAATTGGGGATGAGTCTGGTATATACATGCTGAACCCGTTAAAGTATCTGCACCTCGCCACGAGCGATGGAACGATAGGCGGGTGATATGTACTCGAGCATCAATCATATGATGGAAGAGAAGAGGTGAATGGCAATCTCTTCATATCAAGTGCAGAAGCTAAGTTTGAGCGCGCAAAATATGCGCAGTCCTTTTCCACATGGTTTGTTAGTGTTGTCTACGGATTTAAATTCGCAGCGTGAGGATGTCGAAATCCTTAACGGGGTGTGGCGATTAGTCGGAAAGTATATACGTATGCCCATTACCACCCTAGCCCAGGCTAATAAATAAGGATTTGACTAGGTTGACCGGCCCCTGCAAACCACATGGATAGGCGGTCAAGGTCCTGCTGAAGAATGCACAGTAGCCGGGAGCATCAATAAGCCTCCGAATCCTCAGGTTGCTTGCAAACAAAGCACAAGACGACCGAAGAAACCGAGGTACTTTGTTGACGTGAATCAGAAACAAAACGGGTCCCCGTACTGCACCCTGGAGTACGCTATTATGTGAGGGGAAATAGTTCCTTAGATGGTCAAAAGTCAGGCGAACTCCGTCTAGTGATCCTTCAGGTTGGAGATTGAAAATGAGATGGCACCTATTTCTGCAAAACCGATTCTTCTCGTTTCGTTGCGATCAGGTTTTCGACCCAGTCCCTGATTGAGGACCCTAATCGTTCCCCTGGTAGAGTGATAAAAGGATTACCTGAAAGAGGATCATACACGCATGCTGACTTAGTAGACGTTGGAAGTGGTTCAAAGTTCTCTGTCTGAGTAAAGTTTACTAAGTGAAGAAAAAGTTCACTTTGCATGTCATAATAATGTCTCCACGACGATGACTGTTTAGGCCTATTCGTAATGCTTGATGCGATGCGATGCATAATCATTCTTGTCGTACAATGTCACGGTGCTCCACTAGAAGAGACCAATGTAGAGCCTGTGTAAATTACTATATCATGACATAACATAGCAAAGAGTATCAACAAAAGTACGTCGATGCTTCGTAATGGTGATTCGCGCTCATACAACTATAAGGACACCACCGATGAGAAAAAAGAAAATGAGTGGAAACGCAAATGCCTTGAACAAAATTTCAGGAGCTATGTGCCTACATCAACACGACATGACCACAAACAGCTACCTATCATGTACAGTTGAGGCGGCATCGGCGAGACAGTTTTCGCCAGGCTTTCGCAGTCCCGGATAATAAACAACAATGATCCACGCAGCCCAAGAGCATGAAGACTTTCAACAGGCAGTCCGAAAAGGTAACACCACTGTTGACCGTTAGGTTCCATATGCAGCAGCTTTTCAAGCCAGGCACAGAATAGGTCACGTGGACCGAGTTCTTGGAGGCGAGAGGTACCAATATGACGCAGTTTAACTTTTGAATCCGCGAACCCTACGCCACCAAGCAGTGAGTGCCCACAAAACAGGGTCCTCTAAGGTAAACAGTAGACAGGTATATGCAAAGCACGTCCAAAGCAACTTAATTTCTAGGCTGATACATTGGTAATATGAGTGGAGCTTATCACCGCAAACGGGAAATTCCCTTGAACGATTCGTCGACGCGGAGTTTTTGCTGCCACCCCACGAAAAGCGGCGCTTCGTACGTAGATGACAAAGGCCGGTGGCGGAGCTGTACGCTATCGGGCGCGTCGCCAGGTTGCGGATCGAAGAATGCCTTCCTTGTGGAGGTAACTGCGAATAAGTCTCGTTTGCTTTGCAGACGAGATGAATAAACAGTCGCGGACAATCAGCGGCAGCATCTCAGAGCGTGGGGAGTTCTAAGCTGATAACCCGGTTCTTCATTAAATACCACGTGCTCGTACGGCGCTTTGTCAAAGCCAATGTGACCGGCTATAGGGTCACTGACCACTCGCTCCCGTACCTGGGGGTGTATCGAACGGAGAGCGGATGAACAACCTTGCTGACCACCGGCTTCTCTGTGGACTACTTCCGAACACAAAGAAGGTGAATGAGCCATTTGGCTGTCAACGGTCTTCGTGAATCATTCCGCTGCCTTGCGGGTCAGGTCTTTAAGAGCAAAGGCTCGGGATGGGGTCCCTTAAGCCAACCCTCTTCCTCGGCCTGGGCAACCAGGAGGCTGAATGTCCACACAGCACATGGAATGTTCCACCCATTCAGCTGACTCTCACTTTCTCTTTTTTGTTATTGTTACTCATGTGTTGTGGCACACTGTTAAAGGTTTATTGGGCCTTCGAAAGAAGTGGCCTTGTCCCGCTTTCGTAGAGAAGGTCGGCCATCATAATGCCCCAGATAGGAGATGCAAAGAACAATGGAAATCTTTTTCTAATACCAGGAAGATCACAGGATCATTAATTTTGCTGTCTTCGTAATAACTAATTGAAGAAGTAAATGCTTTATCCTGGGCAGTGCGAGGCACGCCTGCAAGTGCATGATCAGGATAATACAAACAGGTATGGTCTGTAATTGCACAAAAATGTCGCAAGCTGACCAGTAACACCCCGGATCTATGTGTGCATGTGCATATGTAGGGGTATGTGTAAGTCACGCTGACGTATGAGCAAGTGAATATGGTGAGTGCATTTGTTAATGTGACGCTGAATGCGTGCTTTTGTTCGTTGTGTTCGCCATCGTATGAAGGGATCAAAGGAACCCTTCTAAATGGAGGATGTTCGTGAAATGGGAAAGAACCTCCGGAAAGGAAAGAGGCAGTAACTTGATTTAGTGGCGAGTCACATCCGCCACGTCACAGCGTTGTTAAACGGACCTCTGTGGCTTTTTATAGGGAGTAAGTCAAATGCAGTGATCACGCGCCCGTCATTGCTAATGAAACTGTGGAGCTGTTTCCAACTCCTAGTCATTAGAGACAAAAGGTTAATAAGTGACTCGTGGTTGTGCAGCTGCAGCTAGCAGTTCTGAGGTGCGAAGTGTAGGCCAGGAAGCCAGATAGCTCCAGACACTTGGTCTGAAGTCAACTGAACCGACTGCGACTGTCAAACAGCAAGCAAATATCACCCGCGCAAACTAGATCAACTAGTTTTCACTCGGACATAACCTACATTTTTGTATCAAGCGACTCTATGAGGAAGTGCTACATGGCGGGTGTTGAGGCAAAAGTGAACAGAGATAGGAAGGTTGCGGCCCAATTCTGACGAACGTCCCTAATTACAAGGAATGAGCTCGACAGTCCGCCGTAGGCAACATCTCGAAAAACGGTGTAACTGAATGCCCACAAATGTAATCGGGCTGTCCAAAACATTGGGTAACGCGCACGTCAAAGAGACAAGACTAACTGGAATCCATGAAACAACTTCAAATATGCTTCAACCACAAACTCTACGAAGAGATGTACAGCAGCACGTCAAAATTCACGGTGAGTACAACAAAAGCGGTTGGAGGGACAGTAAATGTGATGAAGCTGTTCCACGTATTGTCCTACCCACCACTGTGACCGGAAAGCTGAGAGACTGAACATGTAATCAAGTCATTAGGGAAATGTTTTGTGCACCCGAAACGGGTGAGTATTCAGCTAATAGGTGTGAAAAGCAAGATGAAATGACAGATCTCGAACGTACAAGAAAGGGTTGCGTCTTGACACTGTCGGTGGTGGTCGTGGCGGCCGTTTTCAGAGTGTCACTGGATGAGCTTTCGGCAAGCAGTGAACCGGATTCGTTGAGATTTGGAATTTGAGCAGCTGAAGGACCAACAGATTCTGGTCGTGCCATGCTCGGTTGTGCTTCGGGAAGTTCGGGAGTGCTTAAAGGACAAATAGATGGCGGAAGGACGTTGCGTTAGCGCCAAATAGTTAAAGTAGACTGAAAAGTGGTTAGAAAGCCTGTTAATGAATGAAGAACATCCAGAACGCCATTCATGTGGGCACCGATAAGACGCATACCGAAAGTACACACGGGTTCAAAGTAGATGGTGGGTTCTGAAAGGCCCTTAACCACAGGAACGTGGTGTCACAGTCTTTTGAGAACAGGCACAACTGAAGATTCATTCAAGCACAAACCAACTGCCCACAGAGTATACTACCGTGGAGGTCTGTAAAACTAAGTGACCAGCATATTCCATCAGGGTAGCCAGGATACCAATAAACCTCAGATGAAGCGGAGTCGGGTTGGAAGATGAAACGTTGAGATTGCAATGTGAAATTCATGATAAGCAAAGGAAATTGAATCTACTCCAATGATCAAGGAAAGTTGTCGCATGTGCAGTACACTAAGCGGGCAGTAGGAAGCAATAGGACTATGGACAGTAACAAACATGATTTGGAAGATTCCGGTGAAATCACTCAAAAACACCGTCAAGCATACAAAATATGACACCCAAAATCCACTTACCAAATTGCCTCCAAAGCAGGCAAATAGTGCTCCGTGACGACTCGAGCTTTGAGCACACACAAACAGAGAATCTGCAACAGTAGATGTCTGGCGGTACCAGATGATATTCCGGGACAGGAATCCAGTACAGGAGTGGATGTCGGTGTGGTCACGGCAACAGCGCGTTGACGAATACACTCAACCAAATTCAACAACAACCGAAGGCTCATTTGCTGGATGGAGAATGGGAGCGTGTCATCGTGCATGTTCCGACCGTACAGATCAACTGCACGAGCTATCTTGGCCAAACTGAGCTCATTGCGGATGTGATGCGTGAGATCCGCCAACGTACTGTAAGCCAAAGGTCTGAAGATTGATAGGAATAGAAAAGGTGGATGTGTGGGAAAGCAGAAATCACACATCGATCGTAAGAAAGCAGGGGATGAACGATTCTCGAATCGGCGCAAACTTCAACGAAACCAGATAATGTGGCAAGAGAAATTGGCAATATGCCTGGTTAGACATGTGAAGGTGTTGGTGAGCACAATAGTCGGAAACAAAAAGTTATCGAATCCGTTCACGGAATTCATCAAATAAGGTACGGCAAGTTCCGCTGTCTCAAGGCAGCGAAGTATCAGTTCAAATGACTGATGTAATGCCTTTGATGAGGATGATGATGAGCTGTCAACAATTATGTAAGGGCCTAACTCTGATACTTTGCTCTACAGTGTGTGGAGTTAACTTTTGCGGTTCATGTCAAGCGTGGTCGGAAATTGGTTTCGTAGAACTGAATGGTTGCTCTATTGTTTAAAATTTATTTGGTTTTGTGGCAGCCTGACAGTCCTAGTACATTTTATTCGTTTTTGTAGTGGAAATTACATGAATCTGTGTATTATTTTACAATATTGAGTGTATTCCGTATCATACTGATCCGACATAGATGTTGGTACCAGAAAGTAACGTCAGGCCTCAAGCGTTAAATTAACAATTAGAGCCTTTACTGGGCATAACGGTGGGGTGGGGCGCAAAATTTAGAGATTTGAAAAATTTATCCCTGCAACAGAGAGTAATTTGTTTAACAGCCGAGAAAATCTTCATTTTTACTGTCGTATACACATATTTGTGATATAAGTGTATACTAAAATTTTTATTTTGTAGGTAGTAATGGTGTCGAGCCGATATGAGTGGTTATATTTATGCGTTTGAAGTGTATCAAAACAAATCAAAGGACACTCCTGATTCTGAAGACAGCTTTGGTTTTGGTGAAGTGTTTAGGACAGGGTGACCCAAACAGAGAGGTGGTTATGTTGTGGTGATGGATACTTATTCCACATATGTGGAACAATTTGAGCGTCTGAAGGTGAACAACATTTTTGACTGTCTCAATAAGAAGCGTCTTCCTAAACGCCAAGAAAACAGGGGGTGAAGAGATGTGATTTTGATTATCGCTCTACTGATCAAGGAATTGTTCTTCAAGTGCGAAGGCAAGTGTGTTCATCAGCTGTCCAAATGCCATGGAAATTAATCATTTACTGTGAGGAGTAAAGAGCGGTTTGGAACAATGGCCGATATAGTGGCACCTAAGATAGTACAAGGTTACAATTCAGTCATGGGCAGAGTGGACAAATATGATAGGAAATCAAACAATGGTGGCACAGAGAGTATTTTTGCAATGATGAAAAGGACATATGCTAATGTATATGTGATGTATCAAGACATGCATCATGACAGCTCACTGCTGGAGTTTCGGAGAAATTTGGTAATGGAGCTTATCGCTATGAGAAGCAGATCAGTGAAAAAAAGAAGTCGTCCTACAACCTATACAAGGTCACCACCAAAAGAACCAAAGGGACGAAGGAAATATGGGCATTATAAGCCTAAAGACATCAAGGACACAGAACCTTGGCGCTCAGTGGCCTACATGTGTTGCAGAAAGTGGAAGATATGTAATGTGTTCCAACTAAAAAATCCAATCTAGACCACATTCAAAAGGTTCTTTTTGTGATGTTTTTGTGCTGAAAGGACTAAAAACCGCTTTCGAAAGTAGCACTTTCAGTAATGTACCTTCATGAAGACAAAGTTGATGACTTATGTACCTGTCGGCACTTAGAAGTACTACCTTAAAAAGAAACATGAACCTTTTTACAAGATTTGACCAAAAGCTACCTTATTATAGAAAAAATAAGGAAAAAATTGTAGGTAAATTAATACAGGATTGAAATGGTTAAAAAAGCACGTGGCGCAAAAGGCAACATTGACTCATTCGTTTAAGCTAACCCGCAGCAGTCATCGCAAGTAGCATTCAAACAAAGTCCTAGAAACCTGCAAAGACTAATGTGGAGGTGTAAATGGATGTGGATAGCTGGGCGTAAAGCATGGATCAAGACGATGTGAGACAACCGGAAGTAGCACCACCATGAAGTAATCCAAAAAGAGTGGTAAAATTCACCTCAAAGCGTCTCTGACAGTGTATCCTTGTCCAATGAGGATATCTTCATTCATGAGTTCATCCAACACGTCCAAGAATTCTGCGCAGAAAAAAGTAAGCCAAAATGCAGAAAATAAGTGGTAAAAACAAGGCGAAGGAGCGAGCATAATGGTCACAAGGTACGCTGCAGTGGACGCGCCGCAAACGGACATGGGCGCCCAACGAGGAAGTGTAGCTTAGTGAATCAAAAAGAACGACCAAGGGGATACTGCAATGAACATTAATGTGAAAGCTGCAGAATTAGGGCCTCAGATCAGATGCGTGAGGAAGGAAACGGCTCTATGCTAAGGGAGAAACTGATGGAACGGTTGTCGATTCTTTGTTGGTTACTGACAACTTTTGTAAAGTCGCCGAAATTACAAACTATGATACTGATCTGGTTCCGCCCTCCTCCGCAGTCCCACACGCGTAGTGAAATCTGCACATTATGGTGTCAAAGGTCTTCATCTAAAAAGTGACGAGCTCATACAATGCAAACACCAATCGGCAGCCTGTCGAATTTCGCTTAACAAAATCATGGCGACTCACAGCTCAAATCAGTTAACTACAACTGGAAACACACCAGGCCAGATGAGCAAAGCATTCTGGCTGCCAAGTTGAAAACCAAAACCATAACCGGTCGCTTCTGCTACTTCGAAGTACGGCATTTTGTGAGAAGATGAGCAAAAAACAGTACCCATCGAGGCTTCCTTACGCTACTCACTACACGCTACTCAACAGCGCACTGAGGATGCCACCATGATTGGTGGCAAAACGTCTACAACAAAATTCCAAAGCTCAGAGAACGGTTTAACTGCCACTAGAAGACACAAGGTATACTTAACTTTACTACTCAGTAACTCAAGTAAAGCGGACGAATCTACGTAACCGCTTGTATCGTTTCGCAGAACGACTGTTCAATTCAGACACTTCTCGCTAATAATCTGGCCGGATACAGATACAATAGTATGAACATCCCGCTCACACATGAAGGGGTATGAGATACAGTCGATATTGGAAATGCAGAAAGCAAGCAGCATAGAATCGGACTGTTAAAACGTGTGGGGGGAAAACGGAGCCAACGAGGAGGATAGGTAGCAATAACGAACTTGGTCTGATTTCTTGAGCACTCAGTATGTGGCGAGCAGCGATGAAGAACTCTTTTCGCATGTTGGTAACGCAAGGTGGACAATTATACAGTAAATTCATCATGCCCCGAACCAGGTTAGCTGAATAATGCTCCACTATGTCCTGAAAACGAGAAAAGGTTAAAGAATGGTAAAGCGAATAGTGAGAATCGACGATCTGTCACGATACGGAGGTGCTACTGTCACACAGGTAGACGGTTAGAAGTGTGCACTCTGTTGGGGTACTAATCTCTTACATCTTCAACTAAATAGCGGTTATTACCTTCATCTTTCATATAAGGATGACGTAAAAATGGTATCGTAGAGATAACAAGAAACGAATGAAAACGAGGGCATAAAGAACGGCCGCAGTACCACGCAAGTTACGAGATGCGCGACCTAGCAATAGGAAATTTCCATAAAAGCTAGATCAGCCAATGTCACCAGGCCATTAAACTGCTTCTAGCGCAGTTAACTATAATCCGCTGCTAGTAAAATAAATCCCACACGTCGTTAAGGATTAGTAAAAAAAGTAGGACGGAAATAACGCAATAACTTACAATGACAAATGGTTACAGAATTATTACGAGCATGTTACGCACATCCGCTTATAAAACAAGCGCAATTTACTGCTCAATGGAAGGTGCTCCGTGTGGTGTGAAAATGTGATCAAACACATTACCAGGGTTGATGTGACACGTTTGGATCCTCTGGTTGAAACATATGTAGACAAGTAACCCACACAGTTGACTTAGATAATTTAGAATGTATTATCTCGGGCACTTAGTTCCACGTAAATGAAATGCCAACCATACCAGACGTGCTTAATGTTATCTGTATATAGTTGCACGAAATCTGCAGTACGCACTTGATATGCAGAAAAATTTGTCCGGACATAAATCGTGCGGCGCTACCATGCTAACGTTTTTGCTGAAAATCTTATCGGGAAATAGATGCTTCAATTATCTGAAACACCGTCACCCGAAACACAGCGTGAAGCATCCGTATATACAAGTGGATTCCTTGGAAAACTGTCTCAAAGTGAACCGGTTCCCTGCTACTTATTGTAAACGAACGCTAGGAACTTGACGCAGCTGTCTAGGAGCTTCCTTGAGGAAGCCACCGAGGAAATGAAACAACATCGCGAGTCTTACTTGTCGTAAAAGATCGGAAGTCTACAAACTGAACTTGGTATGTAACCACAAGTTCATGAACTTTTATCGCGATATGATAAACGAAATAAGAACATGGTTTGAGCAGTCCGGGAAAATATTGAAGTACAAGCTTTTTGTATCTAGTTTACCTTTTGAACCATCGAAATATGTTACCAACCTTTTCTCTCTCCATTTAACGCGACTGCAACTTCAGGCTCTATCCTGCCGCCTGAGTAACAACACAGAAACTCAAGCGCAACTCGAGGTATTTTACAGTCAACTTACGGGACTCATGCTAAGTCCAGGGACAAAGAACAGTACAGACGCTTCGTTGCCGCGCAAGCACCATCGGTCGCACGTAGGCTAATGATATGGCAAGAGTCGTCCGGCTCCTACGTAAGCTCGAACCAGCACCCCCAGATTACAAGGCAGGCATGTGATCCTTAAGGCTACGGGCCGGATTATGAATTCTAGATAAAAGTACCCACTCGAATCGTAACATTTGAAGGTCTTAAAGCAACACAGATCAGAAGGAAACGCAGTGTTACTTCACCAATATAAGAGATCAGGTGCTGTAGTGATGGATAAATCCGATTGTGTTGAAAAGATGATGACGATACATAATGATCGCACCAAATTCGAGCTAGACTGTACGCCTGACCACCCAGGTGAACTGGAGAGGAGCATAAACGCATGGTTACAAATACTACTAGCGGGAAATTTTATGAAGGCTGAGACCACCAAATCCTTCAGAACCCGAGGCAAGTAGACAACACAGCTCCATGGGTTGCAAAATTGCACCAGAAAGGTGTGCTACTTAGACCGATCTTATCTATGTGCTATTAGCAGCATTATAAGCTGGCTCGATGGTTAAACAAGATAGTTGAACCAGTGAGGAAGTTAATGGTTAAGTACAGCCCGAAGGACCCACCCAAATTAGTGCAGCTACTGGACAGCGTAGAGTTGAAAGACAAGGTCATGCCCAGCATTGGCATTATCGAACTGTTCACAAATGTGTCAATGATAAAGACCGTCCAGATTATATGTAACTATGTGACCAACAGTCAATTGGAAATAGGCCTTCCAGTATCTAAAGTGGGACAACAGATATTTCTGCGTACATTGAATGTAAAATTTTATTTTAAATAACAAGGCTATCGATAGGTGGATGGTGTGACGATGAGTAATCCGCTCGGACCACTGCTAGCGGATATTTTCGTTTCACACCTCGAAAAGTAAATTAGGAACTAAATTAGCCACGTCGAGTGATCTCGAAAGTAAATGAACAAAATGCTGTTCATTTGTAATGAAATGATCCACGTTACGCAACAGAGTAACAAACCTTATAGCAGCGGGTAAATGCTCATGTGATAAATCCAAAAGCCAACATGGACATTGTGTCGCTGCGAAATTTCTAGAAATTATCAATGCTCACCGGAACATAATGAGGCTCGCAAAGACCTGAGGGTAAAACTTAGTGCTAGGCTGAAGAGAAACCGCGAATCCTGGTGGTCTCAGCCCGCGTCAAAGATAGAAGTGGTTGTTACCCTTGGTAACCATCGGAAGTAATTCTGTCTGACATGGAAAACGAACAAGAGACTTGACGTTAGTGAAACTATGTATGTCGGCCCGCAGCCTAGAGGTAGTCGGCCCGTAGCCTGGAGGCAACATAGTCGTCTCGTAATCTTGAGGTGCGGTTTCGAATCCGCATATGGGTGGGCGTCCTCGCGGTATACTCAACCCGCAGGCGACTTGTGGTGGTCGCACGGCAGTGAAGTGCCGTTACGGCGTACAGCTGACACATTATTAGGTTATTATTAAACTATGCATGACGAGAATGGACAGCCTATCAACCACTTGTTAAAACGCTTAGAGCATTGGGCTGAGCATTACGAAAAACAATTTAATCGGTAAGAAACGTTAGATTTTTCACAGGCTCTCCTCCCTGGGTCGTCTCTTTGGGTTCGCCCCCTCGCTCAGAAGTCGAACGTGAGATCGGACTGCTAAAGTTTAATAATGCCGCGAGACCAGATGACTTTCATCCTGCCCACTTGAAATCCGGGAGCCCCGCTCTTGTTGTTGATTCATACGGAGTACTAGTGAAACTGTGGGAGTGCGAAATCGAGACTGCATTGACCACATCTTCAGTTTGCGTCAGTTTTTGGAACTCCGTCACATATTTTGACTGCCCACCGTTGTAGTGTTCCTAGACATCAATAGTGCCTTCGATTCTGTAGATCGTTGTGCCATTTGGCACTGTCTGATAAGCAAAGGTGTGCCCAAGAAATATGTAAACATTATCCGAGCGCTTTACGTGCGTAGCTGGGCAAGGTTCCGCCGCTCCCGTCGCAACGAGACTGGACCTTAACGTGGTGTGACGGTTTGCATACCTCATTGACCCATTGAGCTATACTGGATGATGCCTTCGGGCACCTTGTGAGCTACTCCTACCAGGTTGGTCAATGGTGAGAGGTCAGACAAACTCAGTCTCCTGGTCCTCCAGGTTGGCGGTTTGAAATGGGATGGCGTCCATTTCTGTAAAACTAAATCATTGCCACCTCCCCGCTGCCTTGCGGGACAGGCTTTTGAGCCAAAGGCTTTGGATGAGGACCTTAATCGTCCTCCTGTCTAGGTCTGGGTGCCCTGGCAGTATCTCAGCTCACATACAACCATGACATTTTCTTCAAACATTAACTTCATCCTGCATCGGCCGTCGCGCAGATTATCAAGGGTCGCCTTATCTGCTGCATACAGCAGGGCGGATAAGCGAAAACATGCTACTGCTGGCGCCTCCCTTCTTTCTTTTCCACCTTTTTCTCTTACTCCCATCCCGATCCCCATTACTAACCTTCCTTCTATAATTCCCAGGTTAATTGAGAGCAACCGAAATGCCACTGGAGTAGAACCATCTGCAGCCACCATCCCACAGCACCTATCGGACGCCTATCGCCTTATAAGGCCACGTTATCCCGTTTCCATGACGACATTCAATGTTCGCACTCTAAGACAAACAGGTCAACAGGCTGCACTCGCACGCACCTTGGACACACTGGGTATTGATGTGTGTTGTGTGTCCGAAACTAGGATCAATGACCCTAACGGGGTTATTGAATTAACTGCACCCGGCTTATCCTCTCGTTATTGGTTGCACACATCCGGAGACGCCGATGTAACACTCACGGGTCAAGCTGGTGTAGGTATCATTCTAAGCTCCAAGGCTGAGCCATCGTTGGTTGATTGGATTCCGGTGAACAGCCGTTTATGTGCAGCCCGTTTGACGACATCAGCTAAGGTTGATTCGCGAAGTAGTACAAAACGCTGTTTGTTCGTGATTTCCGCTTATGCTTCCACCGACTGCAGTTCAAATGCTGTCAAGGAAACATTCTATCACGAACTGAATGCGCTATTACGCAGTGCTACTAGTTCAGATATTATAGTACTTGCAGGGGATATGAACGCACAAGTAGGGCGTCTGAGCTCTTCAGAAGCTCAGCTGGGCTTAACTCCGAACGGACTGACAACGGTGAGCGTCTGCTGCAACTGTGTGCGGAGCACCAGTTGTTCCTCAGTAGCACTGCTTTTAGAGAGAGTGGGCGCCGAAGTGCCACTTGGCGTCCTCCTGTAGCTGACCAGCGATGGACCCAAATTGACCACATAGCCATAAGTTACAGATGGCGTGGTTCCATCCTGGATTGCCACTCGTACTGGAGTACCTGTATCGACTCTGATCATGCCTTGGTGCGCTGTCGTTTCTCCATGAACTTTACCGGGAGGCGCACCAAGCGTCCCCTACGATTGCAAACTGAGAAATTGTCTCAGTCCTCGGTCAGGCAAGCCTATCAAGGCGCAATGCATACTGAACTTCCGCAGTCTTGTCCTAATGACGCTGAGCTTCAGTGGAATAGGATCTCGGCCGCCATGCACGACGCAGGAGCATCTGCTTGTGGCACTATCAATCGTCACCGCACCA